CAACTATGAGATGCGTCTGTCAGATCTTCATTTTAGGATTAAATTAGTATTAAACTGTAGGTAAATCTGCCTTGTGCTAAATATCTTACAGAGATTGTTTCATTGCTGTTTCATAACTAAGTATATGCAATAAACACTTGTATGCCACGTTTGAACTGATTTGATTAAACCACATTTGAGGAGAAATGGAATCTGATACACAAAACCTGAATAATATCACTAAATGCCTACGTCAATACTTACGAAATAACATATCAAAATACAGGATAGTTTTTTAACCGAATTTTTTTCCTAAATCACACTGTAGTACCCACAAATGAATTCATATTTACCTGACGGTATGGTGCATGTGGGTCTGGTTCCGCTAACAAGTACCGATATCCATCTTTGTTAAACGGATGATCTAAAGGATATCCGTGTGCAGGTAACTTTAAAGCACTAAGATCGACCTGCCTTCCTTTTTTACCCAACTGTCCAAATTCATTTGGAAATTTCCTTTTCGCATTTCTGCTTTTGACTCCGCTAACGACCGGCACTGAAAACATGGATTATAGTTACAGAAACGATTCGATTGCTATCTTATCAAATATAGTCTGTTTTTATCAAATCAATTACCTGCTCTAATCATTTTTATCTTTACTTTGAAGGTAATTAGTATTTTGATCTGTTTATAAACAATCAGTTTAAACAACTGTTTTTAAAACAACTGCCTAACTTACAAATATTCACCAAATCATATCAAGCTGTTGAAAATGTCATACCATGTTGAATTCCCATGTCGGTAACTCGAAGAGTGCCTCCCCTAATCATTGCTTCATAATTTGGCCTTATTTGAGTCAAATTATTGCATAATAAACCATACATTTGTCCATCAGTCATACTTTCCTCGAATACAAACAAAATGTGTATATCTTTAACAAGAGCCCTGTGAACTGTAGAATGCCATGACTGAGTCACTCTCCGAGCCGTCGTTGTCAATGCTTCCCAATGATACTCCATGTACGGTATGATTTCTTTGTCTTTACTAAACATGATGCGATTTAGACCCTCTTTTGAACTAATTTGTTGTAGATTAGCGATTGCTGTTACACACATTTGTTGTATTTCTAAAATGATCCCAGATAAATCTAAATCACCATACGAATTTTCCCTTACGAGCTTGACTTTTTTTGAAACTTTCTAGTCCGGTTGGGGAACAATTTTTACACAGAAATATATAATTGGATAAAAATGGAACTAGTTTTCCCAGTTGGTAGCTAATGCAAGATTCATGAAACCATCTATTACAATTTGCACATAACAGTTCCACAATGTTTAAATTTCGATCTTTCCCGCTAAAACATTTTGAGGTTATATTGTTTAAAACAGTAAAACAATACTTACCAATAACAATTTAATTGAGATTCTAATAATTTTGTCTCCCTCTTTTCAGTTTCATTGATTTTTAACTGAAGCATTAGCTCATTGTCCACATCTGAAGACTTTTCTTCAATTGTTTCAAGTTCATTTGTTTTTTCAATTGGTATAAGATTCTGCGATTGACTAAAATAAAACATCAACCTTTAGATTTGTACTAGTACTGTAATACCTACTTTATCTCTATTTCATCTGCCATAATAAACAAATTCAAAATCTAAATAACATACAAACTACAACTCTACTGAACCACACACCAAAGATCACAGACCATGCACTGAATCATAGAATAAATACAAATTGTATTTACTCTATGACTGAACCAGTGGCGGCTCGTAGAACGTAGTGCCAAATTGCTCCCATAATTTTAGTAGTTACAAATCTTTGTTTCCATATTATTCCAGTTGTTTAGATTTAGAGTATAAGCGTTGAGTGAAGGATCTAGGTAGAGTGGTAATGCCTATATGAAAAGCGGTCATCCTTTCCGATCTTTTACTAAGGTAGTCCCTTCTCTATCGCACATCGCGTCTCTGCCCCTCCGAGTCCACGTTTTGCAACACCGATAGCTAACGCCATCGACAATTTCGACGGCGCTTTCCTTCTTTACAATTTACAAGTATTAAGTATTTTCGCCCAGCCGCCCTCTCCAACGAAATTAGTCTTTAGCGTAACTCCAATTGCAACTATCGAAAACCGTTGTAACACACGTAAACAAAATGAGTCATTCTATTTTCATGCAATTGTATACCTGCAAAATATCAGTCCCTTATCATAATTATTGGATCAGATACCTAATTAAGAGCAGTTCACATTCGCAAACACGATTTTTAATCCCTACGCTGCGTCCGACATGATGACCATTTCTAATAATTTTCCTCAAGGGATAATGAGCTCAGCCATTTCTAGTAGGAATTCCTAATAAGTACTTCAGCCGCAAAGCTACACGGAATCTGTTATATACGTTTACCTTACCTTTAAGCATTTTTCCTCAGCAACTTACGTCGTCCACTTTTGTACATATGTTCTGTTAGAAAGTGTTATTAATTTATGTTTCAACCCTTGGATGTCCATTTCAAAAATCTTAATGTTCCCGCAGTTACGTTGCCACACCTTGGTCCTAGTTTAGTCTGTTATGGGAAATTTAAAGAAACTTATCCCATCACTATGTTTATTGCTGATGTAGCAATTTGCATAAACGCAAATATGATTTGCAACACTCATCCTACAATTTTAGCACGCTACCGACTTATTTTAAACCGATAACGCTAGGTATAGGTACTCTCTCGCAATTTGAAAAAAAGACGGTACCTACAAAGACAACTTGTTTAATTGGCGAATCTGCTGGTAACTTTATCTAGCTATTCTGCTATCATGATTAAAGGCTTGCTTTTGATGCGGCCGCTTGTTTTATATAGAATATACCTAGATATAAAATGTGCATTATAATACTTTTAAATAATATGTTTCGGTCACCGTAAACATACTGTTTCGATCATTGATCACAAATTAATTTTACAAGGGCCACATGCAGCCTCTGATACGGACCTACCGTAACCGTATATTTCGCCTGTTGCCCTCGCTTTGCTCAACGCTGCTGTGCGCAAATTGAATAAAGCGATAATGTAATTGTAAGGTTAATATTGTGGTAGCGAAAATATGAAAATAAAATAATGCAATCCGGATCTGGATCGCCGACTTGGTTGTTGCCGTCGGGATCTGAGATCACTCTTGGCCGCCTATATCTCAAACCCCACGTTCACTATGCTTTTAACATAAGTATTGCCTCTCTACCTAGATCCTTTTCTAATATTTATCTACAACATTCCAAAATCTGTCTACTGGCTGGAAGCTGGAGTTGGTGAGACACCTTGGTAGTTTCATCTAGAGTGACGGAACCAAATTTAGCCCCTTTAATTTCTTTGGAAACTTCTTCATGATATACTTAAAGCAAAGAGTAACTATAATAAGAGATCCAACGGTATAGAGAATAGTGTTGCATATGTATTGTGTGTTGCCTAACAAATTTTAGTGCTTTTTCTCAATTTTATTGGCGTACGCTACGCCTAAGGGGCTATTTCAAGGCAACTACTTGTTTAGAAGTTTATAAATATCATTGCAGAAATCCCAGCGTTGCCAAATTTTTAGTGTTTGCTTGCACTTATTTAGGTATCTATTATTCCTTGAAATGTATGATGTTTAAAGGTATGTAATTCCATTCTACGGTTATGGCACAATTTATTAAGGTCCGAACGCTTGATGGTTTGATTCATAGGTGCGAAGATATGTTCTTCGTGTAACAATAAGCCGTTTTTTGAGCGGTAAATAATAGATTTTTTACTGTGTATTCCCAGTAAGCGCGAGTAATAAGCTCGCGTTGATTACGTCTCTGCCCCTGCCCCTTTGTACACACTGTCCGTCGTCCTACCGTCGACGGACGTGTGGAAAAGTCGAGCGAACTAGATCGTTTAGTTAGAGGAAGTAGTCTAACGAACGATATTTACTTCCGACTTGCGAGGAAATAAACGAAAATTTTTTGAAAAAAAAAATAGGCAAATAGACGTTTTATAGTATTTATTGTACAAATAATAAGAGAATGAAAGATTCCCGGAAAAAATGTTTCACTTTTTAATTTTTGCCGGCCAAACAATATAATAAAACAAAATAAACTGCCTCCATTGGATTATAGTTGTGATCGAATGGTTCAAATCAGTTAAAAATGAGATCTGTGGACCAACGCAACCCCACCTCTTTAAAAATGGTTTCTTTGCGATAACTGATGTAATATATCTTCTACTACTTACCCTGTATATATGTGTTATACCTAAGTTTACTTGTTCTTAAGTTGGCACGGGGGATATACAAAAATGGCCGAGTTGTAAACATTACGCTATTATTGTTAATATGGACATTAAAACTCAAGTTGGATTTTTTATCTAAACTTAACTTATTTACAACAACTGGCGCAGTCGATCGGTGAAGTTGATGGGTATATTCGTGTGTTCATTCGAGCATCCGTGTTACCATGGAAGGAATGGAAGCTATGCAGCTCGCGATGACTCGCATGGCCGAAGCCATTGCGGCACTAGCTCAGAATCAACATCAGCCTAACCAGAATCTGCAACCTGAGGAGCCCCTACAGCGACCTCAAGGTATTCCAAATTTTCCCCGATATACAGAGGGCGAAAATATTGAAGATTTTTGCAGCCAATTTGAAGGACTCGCTTCAATACACGATTACAATGAAGCCCGACAAAAGGCCTCATTTCTGGCTCTACTACCCACTACAACGTATCAACTACTCAAAAACTTGATCTTTCCGGAGACAGTAGCTACGCGGTCATATGCGCAGATTAAGACTACATTCATTGGGCACATGCGCCCGCCGCCGTTGCGCATTCCTTCAAGACACGCTCTGTGCTCACGTCGACAAAGGGAAGGAGAAAGCATTCCTGAATACCTACTTAACGTCGTTACGAGCGTTAGCGATTCCATGCGGATATGATGCTAATACACTAGCAGAAGTCCTTAAAGACATTTTCGTTGCTGGAATCCGTGCGAAATCGATACTCGATCAGGTATTTACAATGCCTGACACCTCTACACTAGAAGAGCTTTATGCAAAAGCTGTGGCAATAGAGAGAGCAGAAGCAAGTTCAATGCAAATGCTAGCTGATAGTAAAATGACATCTACAGTCAATAAAGTTACTAAAGTGAAAACTCAGCAGCCACAAGAATCCAAGCAACCTACGACGACTGAATCTGATAAACCAACGTGTTTCCAGTGCGGAAAAATGGGTCACAAAAGTCCAGAATGCAGAATGGACAAGTCCAAACTGAAATGTACAAGCTGTGGTCATGTAGCAACTGTATGCAGACAGAAGAAGGAGGAAATTCACCACATTGATGGAGAAGGTGCACCTTGGACTGCTACAATTGACGTGCAAGGCAAGCCGCTTGAGTTCGAGCTCGATACAGGGTGCGAGTACTCTATTGTTCCTGTCAGTCTGTTCCAGACCTTACGTGCTGATCTCAAAAAAAGTGACAAGCTGTTCCAACCGTACGGTACCTCTGCTATGATACCAGCGTTGGGCATGTCGACCGTGAAAGTGCGCTACAAGCATAAAAAGTTACATTTGGACATCTACGTTGTTCAAGATCCAGCAGTGTCAATTCTGGGTGGAGAATGGTTGCACAAGTTGGGCATCTACATCCCTGTGAATCACGTTTATCAAGTCAAAGCTGGTCAACAGTATATGAAAGACTTAGAAAGTGAATTTCAAGATGTTTTTGCAGAAGGGATTGGTTGTGCACATAAGTCAGTGTCAATCAAATTCAAAGATAATGCTAAACCAGTGTTCATGAAACATCGATCAGTGCCATATGCGTTAAAGGACAAGATCGAAACTGAATTGGACAGAATGGTGAAAGATGGAATTCTAATGCCAGTTGAACACAGTCAGTGGGCTACACCAATTGTACCTGTCGTGAAGAAAGACTCGGTGCGAATTACCGCCGACTACTCGTGTACAGTGAACCCACAGTTGGAAGTTTCGTCATACCCATTGCCGAAAATCGAGGAACAATTGGCTAAAATCTCTAATGGTCGATTATTTTGCAAACTCGATATTACAAAGGCATATTGGTGTCTTCCAGTAGATGAAGCGTCGGCAGCTGCGCTGACCATCAACACTCATAAAGGTTTGTTTCGTCCCACACGCTTGATGTTTGGATGTGCTTCAGCCCCGGTCATATGGACCAAATTCATTGAAGAAGTGATCTCTGGAATAGAGGGTCTCGGAGGTTATTTCGATGACTTAGTGGTGTCTGCTAATGACGTCATTACTCTGAAATCACGCCTATCAGAAGTTTTACGACGCTTGCAAGCCAACGGTCTACGCCTGAACTTGCAGAAGTGTTCTTTCTTCGTGGACTCTGTCACATACCTGGGACATGAAATATCAGCAGCTGGCATCCGTCCTGCTAAAGATGGATTACAGGCCATTCAAGAGCTGCCACCACCTGCAAATGAGAGTGAATTGAAGAAGTTCCTGGGAATGGTGTCGTTCTATTCAAAATTCGTTCCTGGTATGGCCTCTACAGTCGCTCCATTAGTCGCTCCATTATACAATGCAACGAAGCAAGCAGTTCCTTGGAAATGGACACGTGAATGTGCTACAGCATTTCAAACGTTGAAGCAGCAGTTAACTTCGGACCATGTGTTAGTGTCATACAACCCACAGCTTCCGATTGTGCTTAGCTGCGATGCCAGTCCTGAAGGCTTAGAAGCTGTTCTCGCTCACCAGTATCCAGATGGTTCCGATCGTCTAATTTTATACATCCACAGAAAGTTGGACAATTGTCAAGTGAAATACTCACAAATTGATAAGGAATCATTGGCCATCAAATGGGCCGTTGAAAAGCTGAATATCTATCTTGTGGGCAGGCAATTCACTCTCATAACTAACCATGCCCCACTTGTTCACATATTCGGCATACGCAGAAAGAAATTACCAACTTTGTGTGCTACTAGATTGTTACACTACGCAATCTTTCTACAAGATTTTTCATTCACCATCAAATATCGCAAATCTGAAGAGCACGGCAACGCTGATTTCCTGAGTCGTTTACCACAACACTCGTCAGATTTACGTCAGGCTCCTACCTCAGATGATCCAGTTGATCTAGTACAGCTTCACCACATCTCACTACTGCCGCTGACTCACCAATCCATTGCGCAGCATACTCAGCGAGACATTCAAGGGCGTGAGTGGCTACAGAAACTCCGCTCGGGCGAGACACTTGGTGAAAATGAAGATGGACTCTACTCATTGCAGTCGGGTTGCGTCATGAGGGGCTTGCGTACCTACATACCTAGTGCCTGTCGCCCTGCTGTGCTTGAAGAACTTCATACGGGACATCTAGGAATTTCGAAAATGAAGGCGTTGGCGCTAGGGTATGTATTTTGGCCTAAAATGGATGCAGACATTGAACATTTGTGCCGAAATTGTCACGCATGCAGCCTGCATAAGGGCCGCTCACCTTCATTGGAAACGCATACATGCCGATTTTGCGTTTTATGGTAAGAACACTTATCTCATAATTGTTGATGCCCATTCAAAATGGCCTGAGATAAAAACTGTACCAAACATGCTTGCGTCTACAGTGATAAATGTATTGGACGATTTGTTCGCGTCATAGGACTACCCTCGTACCTAGTTACGGACAATCAATCTACATTTGTGAGTGCCGTGATACCAGAATTTCTACAGAAACGTGGCATTAAGCATAGGACTATCGCACTTTACCATTGCGCCACCAATGGACTTGCAGAGCGGATGGTATCAGCAATGAAACTGTGCCTGCGTACGCTCAACCTCAATGAGGGTAATGCTGCAGAGAAATTACGTACATTCCTAGCAGCATACCGGCGTGGCCCACATCCTACTACGGGCGTAAGTCCAGCAATGGCGTTCCTTAAACGCGAAGTGAATACGCCGCTAAGTTTACTGACAAATCCCAGTGTATCCCCTACAATTGAGAAACGCGCTCAATTGTCGTACGAATACCATGACCCAGTCTTCCTGAGGGATCTAAAGTCGCAGTCAAGGATGAACCCTTACGTAAATGGAAGTTGGGATACGTGATATCAAGAGATGGGGAACTCTCCTATACAGTGATGGTGGATGGCGAACTAAATCGCAAACATGTGGACCAACTCAAGAAGGTGGGACAAGATGTGCCAATGACTCTAGCAGTAACGCCGTCTATTACTCCTGCGATTTCGGTTCCTGTTGCGACGCCTGCAGCATCCGGTCCTGCTCAATCTCCGCCGGACCAGCCTGAGCAGTCAACTCCAGTGCGGACGGGTATTGCTGAAACTCCGCGGGCTCCTGTGTCAGATCGACCGCCTCCACGCTTCGCAGCTCAGTCTACTCCGCCTCAGTCGGCTCGTGAGAAGCGCATCCGCCGTCCAGTTATTCGCTACTCTCCTTAGTTTTTTTTTGCTTTCTATGAGGTGAGGGATGTAATATATCTTCTACTACTTATGTGTTACACCTAAGTTTACTTGTTCTTAAGTTGGCACGGCTGATATACAAAATGGCCGAGTTGTAAACATTACGCTATTATTGTTAAATTGACATTATACTTAAGTTGGATTCTTCTAAGCCTAACTTATTTACAATTAATGCTTAATAATAAATTACACAAATATTCTTTCCTAAACCTTTCCTTTAGATGGGTACGTACTTCATTTACATAACGAATTCTATTAGTTAAGCTATTCTCATCGACAATAATGTTGCGTTTAGAACAGATTTTACTTTTCTAAATATGACTTTTATTATCCTTCAAAAATTACATTCACTTCATACGGTTTTAGGACATTTCGCCCCCCACAACTCGCCCCCGGACAGTTCGCCCCCCGCAATTAGCCGCCGGACAGTTCGCCCCCTGAGACAGTTCGCCCCCTGGGACACTTCGCCCCCCAATGGTTAATGTTTGGCATATTTGTAGTCTCTATTAGTATATTATATTTTACTTACGGTATTCTATAGGTATGATGAATTATGATATTAGCTTATCGAATAATAAACACACGTGATCATTACTTTATAAAAGATTTATTTCAAACAGTTACCAGCTAACACGAAAATTTAAAAAAAGTTACAAACTAAAATGCAAAATTATTGGAAATTCCTCTTAAATAATCTATAATGTTTCTATTATCGTAGTCATTAACTATTACATGGATACGAGCCGAAATAGTAGCGTAGCGTTTATTTGGTCGCGGTGGTGGTGCTCCAGTTATAAATTGATTAATTTGGTAAGCATGAATTGTTTGCTGCTTTTTCAGAGATTCAATGAACTTAAAAACATCTGGTGAAGTATCACACACACACTTTGGAAACCTCGATGCCAACCTTCAATGTTGTTATTGGTTCGATGGCGGCCATCCAAAGTACGTTGGTACATGTTCCACATCTCAATAGAAAAAATGGGTGGACGTCTCTGTCTGCGAGCACGGCGGCCGATGTAGATATCCTCAAAATAATCCACAATCGGTTGGGCCTCTGGTGGAAAATTTTCATACTCCACTAACTCATCAAATGCCTCCAAAACTCGATGTGGAGGCACAAAAGCAATGGCTGGGATCATCCGCACCCATTGAGCAAAATCATGATTTCCTTGGTATAAAATCTGCGAAAAGAGAAAAATAAGTAAGAAAAATATAGAAAGAAAATTAGTAAATTACCTGTAATCCCTCCGACTGTACTCTTCGCCATACATTTTGGCATAAATGGAAAAAACACCCGGATACCGCAATGCCTTCAAATTCTTCGGAAAATGCTCCCATTGCCGCTGCTTCAAAGTCAAGCAGTACCCTAGTTGGCAACAGCCCAGGTATCAAATTTTTTAATTGTTGGAGTAACTTCTGATAAGTTTCCTTGGTTTTGTTTGGTAGCAGGGCGTAAATGGCAGGTGTCACGGTTCCATATTGCTCAACATGGATAGTATATAATTGAAAAAATAAATTTGGAGCTACAGAAAATGTTCCATCTCCATACCAGCTATCACTTCTGTTTAGCATATTTAAATTATCATCTGTGGCAAAAATTAATATCCTATCAGGTAGCAGAGTGTCTTGGGAATCGTACTTTAGGAACTGTTGCTCCAAGCCATCTACTTCAATTACACGATATTGTAGGGGAATATTCAAGTGTTCCAGATCTGTTGGTAACTCCGGGAGACCTTGCTGATTGCGTTGTCGGCGAATTGTACGTTTGATGGCGTCCTGTCTCGGCAATTTCGCCATAATATTCCTATGCACATTCTGCAGATTCGTTGCCAATATTTGCTGAGGAGTTTCTTCTGTATCACGCGCTCGCTCTTTCACACGACTCAGAATATTTAACACTGGACCCCTTGTTGCTTCTGCAGCATGGTTGTGAGGTGTTACTATACGGACAACTTCTACTCTGTTAGCTAAAATGTATTACTTATGAGAATATGTATATTAAGGATAAACATAGAACTTACCTATTGTCCAGATGCGACCTTTACATAGACCTCTTTTTTCACAAACCCATATAGAGTTTTCTTTATTTGCACTTTTCTTCGAAAACACATACACAAAATTATTGTCATCAATAAATTTCCTACCATCTCTACTTGATGTAACAAACGACATGATCGGTGTAACTTCAAACGATTCAAGTGTTAAACTAACCGATAAATTGGCCCTGGTGGAGTATCTTATAGTTAATGCCTGAATCATTTCGCGCCCTGATCATTACGATGTCATTATCAACCCATTAAACCTATGCCATTCTTCAGCTTGTGTACCTATAAATTCCCAATGATATTGGAAATTAATGGGGTCTTAAGCACCGTCAGTTGATTAAGATGCTATTATCATAATTGCACATAAAATTTACTTTGCAATTGGCATTATGTAGGTAATCTATTATTTAATTCGCTAAGCTTAATTACTTTGGTCAATGTCAATATCGAAATTAATCTAGAAATCTAAACAAATATGTCAAAATTTAAATCAACTTTTAGGTGCGAAATGTCGCAGAGGAGCGAAAAGTCCGGGGGCGAAATGTCCGGGGGCGAAGTGTCACAAGGGGCAAAAAGTCCGGGGGCGAAATGTCCGGGGGCGAGTTGTGGGGGGCGAAATGTCCTCATCCCACTTCATACTACTAACAGCCACCTCTTTTCTTTTCAAATTCAATCATTCATGCATTCTTATTCTTATGAACTCGACACTGGGTAACTTCAAAGCTTCTTCAACTACGAGGTTCAAAGTATGGGCAAAACAAGGGAGATGTTTCTTTTCGCCGATGGATGTTCTTATGGCTGCAATCATGGAACTGGCATTATCAGTCACCACTGCTTGAATTTTGTTTGATGGTATATCCCAATCACCTAGGATCTTCATAAGTGTTTCGGAAATATACTCAGCAGTATGTCGTTCATTTAGTGCACGAGTGGCTAGATACAACATACACATTTCCCCATTTTGTTGGAAATGAACTGTCACACCTAGAAATCCTCTTTCATTCATGGTTTCCGTCCAAATATCTAATGTAAGACATATGTGGTCTACTTTAGACAATCTAGACTTCGCTGTAGCCACACAAGGTTCATATTTTTCTTGAAGCTTCTTTGTTAATTATTTTGCCCCAGGAACTTTAAAATTAGGTTGCAACTCTTTCATAAGTGCCAAAAACCCTTCTCTTTCAACTATATTGAAAGGTCGCATATCCTTGACGATGAAAAAGATTAATGCTTGAACGATTTTGTTGTATTTTGGACCTCCCTCTGAAACAAAACGTCAACTTATAGAAACTCAAACAAATATAAGTATTAATAAGGATGCTAAAATAATTTATTTACTAGAGGAAATCCGCGAAAACGCTTCTTGTAAAGTCTGGTGCGCAGTAGGAATGGTATAACTTTTGTCGACGTCCATGCACCCGATCAGAATCAGCATCAAATTGTTGTGCCTGTTTCGACGTTGATGGCTGTGGCTGTGATAGTTCAGGTTCGGTCTCATCTACAGGTTTTCTTCTAGGCGCTCCTGTTGGATTTTTTGAACTGAAAAATAAATAACAATAATAAACTATCCAGTACAGTACGACTGTACGAGAGGTGTACGTGTACATATTACTGTAATATCGAAATTCAGAAGCTGGATATAATGAAAGTGAAAGTAATTTCTGAAAAACTTTTTAACTGAAAAGTACCTTTTCAGTAGTCAGTACTCATTACGTTACGTAAAAATAAATTATTAATTATTATTACATACCTTTTATTAGGACCAGGAGTACTCTGTGTTTTTTTTTCTATAATAGTTCCATGAGTGCTTGTGTGTTTAAACAAATTCGATGTGTTTCCACAGAACTTTACAGTTTTAAAACATTGCTTACACTTTGCCATAGTTTCATTCACTTTTGTGTAATATGCCCATACTTTAGATTTTGGGGGTGCCATAATAACAAGGAAAACTATAACAAAAACTAAGCACTACAAAAACAACAAATCACCAATCTAATGAAGCAATATTGACGGAAGACGCGCACACGAATCACGATCTAATTACGTTATAAGCACAAATTCAGAATAGAGAATATTTGAGAATAACAGAAAAAATACTCTTCTATCGTCTATTGTATACAATACAATGAGATGAGATGAACATTCCCGTTACGTTAAGCCGGGTACTCATTAGCGAACTGTTGCATGTATCGTAACTGTTACAGTAACTTCGTGTTAATGTGGACGTTGTGTCCACATTGTCGTCTTGTAACCAAATCACAAGCATGATCCGCAGTGTTTTAATGTAGGGTGACCAGAAATATTAGATATTAAAAGAGTACAACGAACAGGTGTGCAATAATCGCTCGGGTGTGACGTAGGGTTAGTTCTCAGGCTCTTCAAATGGGTGATAGAAGAGTAATTACACTCACCGCTACTGAAAATACACCTTCAAAATTACTAAAAATAAAAAAATGATTAGTTATATTTTTCTGAAGACTTAGCCTTATTTAACAAATGCACATCATCCTTAATCTTATGGTGAAATTCCTCACAAGTCATGTTTAAATTACATTTTACCTTCATCACCTGATTTAATGTACCAACACTTAACCTACTTTTTTCAACACTCAAATAATCTTTTATAATACTAAAAACTCTCTCACATGGGGCATTAGAGCCTGGTAAAGTAAACAGGAAACTAATTAATGGTGTAATAATTCCCAAGTCACATTCACTTTTTAACATGTCACTGTAAACAGCTGCCCATCTTCCTTTCATATTTTCTTTCTTTTCTTCCCATTCGTCAATATGTTGCACGACACATCTTGAAATGGCGCAGTAAGTATCGAAGATTTCATTATCATTTATATTTACCAAGATACCAGAATTTTTTGACTCTTCGTGAAAATAAGAAAACGACTCATAAAATTCTTCGTACGTTATGTTACTTTTAAGAAGAAAATGCTTCATTTTATTGGCATCTGCAAAAAAACGCTTTCCCACGTCTTCAAGTATGCAGTAATTTCAGCATAAAATCGTTTGGAAACTGAATATGCATATTTCTCCTCAATTGAACCGTCGTCAATTAATTTCTTGAGAATATTTTTTGCAGTAAAAGGGAAAAAATTTTGCTCAAACCTGTCTTCATACTTCTGCATGAGTATGAAATATTGCGATGACACTTCAACTGCTGTAGCTGGGCTTGTAGGAAATACAGCCACAGTTCACTACTTTCGTCTTTGAAGAAGTTGACTAGAACAGCAGGCGATTGTTCTTCACTCAAAAAGAATGATTTAAGCGGTTCATACAATCTTGGAATTTTTTCTACGCAAGGCAAAAGAGACAAAAATCGTGTTTTCGAATGATACAAAAGTCCCTCAAAGTGACAACCTATGAATTCACAAAAAGATTTTAACGTTTCGGTTCTGACTGTAAAAATGCTGAAGTGGTTATAAATTTTGAAGACTAAATTTTCAATATCTATTGGAATTATTTTGGACGTGGCCACTGACACAGCATTGTGAAGAATATGAGCACCACATCCTATAGGTAAAATACCCTTATCTAATCTAGCTTGTAATTTGCCATGCACATTTCCAGTTGTATTTTTCTTTGACTTTATGCTCCCGAAATTTAGAGGTGCGTTATCTGCCAGGAAACCAACTACTTTATTTTCAAGTTTGTAATAATGTATAGTATCCATCAATATATTTGAAACGGTGTCCGAGGTCTCATCTGTAATGCTATGAATTTTTAAGACACTTGTCTTTATTCGAATATCAGTTGCTATTTCGCAATAACGGACTAAAACGGGCAAAAGTTTGGTCGATTTTCTATTCGATGCATCACATGATATCACAACAAACTGTGCTTTCTCCAAACTTGTTTTGAGATGAGTTTCACACCAGTCGCCGATAACGTTTGTTAACAGTGCTTCAGATTTGGTTCGACCACAGGAAAATTTTTTATTAAAGGAATTTTTTATCAAATTGCTTGTACATTTCATATTCCTAAAAGATTGATTGTGATTTACATTATGGTACGTCCATTCTAATTCTTGTCGTATTGTATTTAACTCCTCCGTAGAGTTTTTTGGGGAAAAGAAAGTGTGAAGATTTTGACTAGTCCTTGCTGAAGCAAATAGTCGGCATGCGTTTTGTTAAAACATGTTTGTGTACATCAAATTTGCCTTTTGTTATGAAAAAATTGAAAAATCTTCTCCGGCAAATGCTTGCAAAAATGCTTTGTAAGCGTCGTTATCTCGAGATTTTTTAATACAAGGATATGTGTCTTTCAAAGGTTTCGTTGGGGATTTACATTTTCTTCGCGCCATAAGGGAATGTTATTAATGTGTAAATAATGCAGGAACTTGCGCCAAGGAACGAGATCAACTAAACGAAAATTTAAAAAATGCCAAAGTAGTTAGCTATTGGCCTATTATGGGGTTTAATATTTTACTTACATTTTATGATTATATTATCAGGGTGACACACAACAAACTGAAAACCTGCATATACCACGTACGCCATAATCGCAAGGCATTAAACACAAAGAAATTTACTTTTTTTAAGTTAAGGACAGCGAAGTTTGTTACCAACAAAAATTACCAGAAGCAAGTGCAGTTGCAATATGAAAATTCACGTTTCAGGTGCATTCGGTGCGCAAGGACGAGTTACGACTCTTACGAGGCAAATGACTGTGTTATTTTTTATTTAATTTAATTTTAGTAAAGGCGAACCAAAGCGTTGGTTGTTGTTTCCCTTTTGCGAAATAGAGAACATTTTTTCCATTTAATCATTGAATAATAAATCTGAATTATTATTCAATGATTTAATTAAAAAGTAAGAGTACACCGAACAAGTCAGAAAAGAGAACATTACTCTTAAAAAGAGTACGTCTGGTCACCTTATTTAATGAGTTCGCGGTGAACGGAGGCCAGCATTCCGTGCATAACCACAAACATTTTGAATTATGACACAATCACCACAATTAATTGCAAGTGCAGCGTATATATTAATTGATTACCTTATGGAAGAAACCAGTAAACGTTCGCGAAGGTTTTGGCAGCATCAAATGTATAAAGAAAGGAATAGATCTGCTCTTCTATTGGATTTAAAGTTTCAAACGGTCAGTGGTCACTACAAAAATTTTACCCGTCTAAGTCCAACCGACTTTGAATTTTTAATAAATTTATTGGGACCCAAAATACATCGAAGGAACACTAGATTCAGAGAAGCAGTGTCAGTCCAAGATAGACTAGCACTGACCTTAAGGTACATGGCAACGGGTGACTCGTTTACAAGTTAACAATTCATCCCAAGGGAAGCAAAGAACGTG